GGCCCTATAGTGGCCAGAGCCGATCCTCTTCTGGCCAGTTCGTCTGCTGCATCGTTGCCTCTGGATCCACTGTGTCCCTTTATCCATTGCAGAGTCACATTGTTGTTTTTACATACCTCATTTAATCGTTGATGGCATTCATATATTAGTCCCGAGTTCACCACATTGCAACTCAGAGCTTGTAGTACCGCCCTACTGTCGGTCAGTATTCTGATGGAGAAGTCATCAACCTTCTTAGCATCTTTTGCTATGGCCGCTTGAATGATACCCATACATTCCGCCTGAAAGACTGTGTTATAGGTGCCCAGCGGTGTGCATATGTGGATATTAAGGTCTTCAGAGAAAGTTCCAGTTCCTACACTTTCATTTGTTTTAGAACCATCGGTGAAAACTCTAAGCACTTTTGGGCTTAATCCTTCCGGCTGGCTGGTTTCATTTAATTGTATCTTGTATTTCTTATCGAATACAAATTGTTTAGGAATCTTATCGTACTTGGCTTGTGAGATAGGAATGTTTGAGTGAATTCTATCAATTATGTCTGTATGAGAGACACTATTCTTACTCCAAAGATTTAAGGTCTTGAGTGTGATGGCAGCTAAATTCGCTTCTTGTTGTATATGTAGATGAAGCGGGGTTAGCTCCAGCATCGCTTCTAAGGCTGCTGTTGGCGTAGTCCTTCTGCAGCCTGTGGCAGCCATACATGCTAGTCTCTGGTAGCGCTGAAGCTTCTTTATAGTGGTGGCTTCATTTGTCTTGGTCCACCATACCAGAGCGCCGTATATAATCACGGGCCGAATTACAGTTTTGTACAGCCAAAGTATGATTTTTGGCGTCAGACCCCATCTTTTGTCAATCATGTTTCTGCATTGCCAGAAAGTTATACTAGCTTTGTTGATTTTCTTTTCTACGTGTTTATTCCATTTAAGTTTGCTGTCTAAGGTAAGACCTAAATATTTTACCTCAGAGGATAACTGGAGTTTTGTGCTGAAAAGACTTGGAAGATGATAGTTATTCAGCATTCGTTTTTGTGTGAACATTATTAGAACCGTTTTATTTGGATTGACGGTTAAGTCGTATTCCCTGCACCATCTCTCCACTATACGGAGAGCCGCTTGGGTCAGGTCGCACACTATGCTTGCTGTCTTTCCAGAGACCAGTATTGTTAAGTCATCAGCATAGCCTACTGTGTAGAAGTGATTGGCATTTAATTTGCTGATGAGTTCATTAATGACCATATTCCACAGCAGAGGTGAGGGAACCCTGCCCTGCGGGCAGCCTTTCTTAATCTGGATTGGTTGAGATTCACCAGCAATATTTATAATTCGTGTGCTGATCATGTTTACTATCTAGTCAATTAGTGCCGGTTCAACTTTATGTCTACTGAGTACACCTTTTATGCTGGAGAATTTCGTTCTGTCAAAAGCACCTTCTATATCAATGAAGGAACCTAGACATATTTCTTTGTTTTGGATGGCCTCTTCAATCTTTGTTATTACCTGATGAAGTGCCGATTCTGTTGATTTGCCTAGACTGTAGGCGTTTTACTTGTCGTGTAGTGGTAAGTCCATTAGCGCCGATCCCCTTAATTTCCTTTCACACATCCTCTCCATCGTCTTTAGGAGAAAGGATGTGAGGCTAATGGGTCAGTAGGATTTAGGGTCTGTGTAGTGGCTTTTACCTGGCTTAGCTAAGAATGTGACTTTCACTTCCCTCCATCCCCTAGGAAGATATTTAAGAGCCAGACAGGCTCTCATTATGGCAACAAGTCTGACTTAACAGTCAGACTTGTTACCATAATGATACCTAATGGGCCCTAATGGGTTTTACCCCCCCACTGTAGGAGTTTTTTTATAGGATGAGGGTGACAAATGAGCACACAGTCCACCTGATGGTAAGTGGTTGCTGCGGCCCATAGACATTTACAACTATCCTCGTTTGCGAATCAAAATGCAGATGCGTTTTCACCCGTGAAGACTAAGATGGAATGCCTCATTTCCAGTAAAAAGGGCCTCCGGCCACCTGCACTCACCAAGCGAAACGCAGAGGTAAACCTCTACTTCACGCTAAAGGACTAGGAGGCTAAAGGAGTGCCGGGAATATGTCGTCAGGTCCTGCCGCCTTATAAGGGAGGAAAATGTGAATGGCCCAATGGATTTTGTTTATCGTTACCACTCTCTGTGCCAAATTCCAGTCTTCTGCTGTTGATGTCAGTATATCGTCATGCCGGTTTTCCTCCTTAGTTACACGCAGCAACCTGGGAAGTGCGTTTCAATTAGGATGCGTTAGGCTTCATCCGGCGATGTTTAGTAGCTACCGTCGGGTTTCTTTAGAGAGATGGATCCCGACGTGTTCTGTTTAGCTAGGATATTCCTTATCCTATTCGCTTGTTCGCAGGTTTCTATGTTGCCACACAATCTACGCCAACCTGTCGAGCGTCGATACCTGATACATTTTTTTTGTATTCGGACTTAGCTTTCTAATATAGTAGCCAGTCTTCATCCATTGAGGTATTCATAGCCCTATTTAGGGCTGTTCTTACCTTCTTACGTTTTCTATCTAGTTCTTTACCCCACCACGGTTTCTTTAGCTCAGCATGCCTTAGTGTAGTGATTTATGGACATGACTCATGGTAGCTGTCCATCATGGCTTAAGTAACAGCCGCTACCTGTTCTTCTAGGAGCGACTGATCTGCTATAGTATTTGTCCCCTCAAAACCCGCGAGCGAAGACGTCAGCCTATTAAGGTATTTTATTTTATCCGTCTTGCGGGGATTTCACCATGGTGGTGCAGCGGGGTTATCGACCTGTTGAGCGAAACAGATCCATCTATGATCTGAGCATGAGGCCTCTTTCATGCTATCAACATGCCATCCCGTAATTAGTTTAGCTGCTCCTTCTGTTGCAAGTGTGAGGTCAATTATTGTGCGACAACGTTTGTTTATAAAAGTTGGTTCAGAACCTGTATTTAAAATAGCTAGGTTAGTGAAAAATAGATATTAAACTTACACGTTCCCTCGTTCGTTCGGTCTTTCATTTCCCAAGAGAGGATGATGCCTGTGTCTCGACTTCAGTAAAAAAGGGTCTCCGTTTCTCTACACTCACCATGAGAAATACAGCAGCATCATGCTGCTATTTTACACTGGTATTCTGTGAGAGAATCCCCGGTCGAGTACTCATTCGTGCTACAACAATTACAATATGAACTTAATAAATGAGTGGAGGGCTGTGCCCAGCAGTGCGACATACATTGATAACTTAAATTTTAATATATTTTGATCATTTTTTAAAGTATGTTAATTAAGTTATACATCATCATCATTACAGCCCTTCACAAGTCCACTGCTGAACATAGGCCTCCCCCAAAGAATGCCACAAAACACGGTCCTGAGCCACCTGCATCCATCGACTTCCTGCATGTCTTACCAGGTCGTCACTCCATCTCGTGGGGGGACGCCCTACACTTCGCCTACCGGTACGAGGCTGCCACTCGAGAACCTTTCTTCCCCATCGGTTGTCGGTTCTTCGAGCTATATGGCCGGCCCACTGCCACTTCAGCTTACTAATCCGTTGGGCTATGTCGGTCACTCTGGTTCTACTGCGGATATCCTCATTCCTAAGTTTATCACGCAGAGAAACTCCGAGCATAGCCCTCTCCATAGCTCGCTGAGCGACCTTGAGCTTCCTCATACGGCCAGCAGTGAAGGACCACGTTACCATTAAGTTATACGAGTAGTAATATTACGTGATCTGCTTATAGATGTACTCGTAAGTAGTTTGTGTTTCTTGTTATATGAAACTAATTTGACCTTGAGTGCTGTAGTGGTCGCATAAATATAAGAAATCATTTTTGTTGTGTTTAATGAACCAGATATTTTAATGTATAAGATATAGAATATATTTAATTCATATTAACAAGTGGGATGCTGGAAGTAAAGACTGTGTAAGAACCTCCGAAGGAGGCGGAGTTAATTAGCTGAAATAAGAATTTTTAATTTTTTGGTTTTTGCCATTTTGACCCCCTAGGAGTGTAATGAGAACTTTTTGCTCCTATTCAACCATCACCCCCATGTCATACCCTACATGATAGGCTATTCAAACTGACTATGCCTAAAGTTCGAGCCACCCCTCAATTTTTTGGTTTTTGGCCATTTCGACCTAGGAGTGTAATGAGAACTTTTTGACCCTATTCAACCATGACCCCCCATGACATCCTCTAAATGATAGGCTTTGCCTTGGCATATGGTCTGACACAACTGGTTACATCGCCTACGCGGATTCCAGATGTTGAGGATCATACACCTTCCCTGTTGGACCTTCTGCTGACCTCTCATCCGGACGGATATCAGGTTTCCGTCGATGCCCCTCTTGGCTCTTCGGACCATTGTCTGATCCGGAGTGTGGTGCCACTCACGCTCCCCTCGCAGTTGCGTTCTGCAGGTTGCCGCCGTGTTTGGCATTACAGGTCGGCGGATTGGGACGGAATGCGGTCTTTCTTTGCTTCCTACCCATGGGGGCGGGTTTGCTTCTCGCCGGATGATCCCAGCGCTGTTGCTGACTCTGTTCAAACTGACTGTGCCTAAAGTTTGAGCCACCCCCAATTTTTTGGTTTTTGGCCATATTGACCCCCTAGGAGTGTAATGAGAACTTTTTACACAACATTCAACCATGGCCCCCATGACATCCTCTAAATGATAGACCATTCGTCTAAAGTTCGAGTCAACCCCCAACTCATTTCTAAAGTCTTTACTTTCAATTATTACATTTTATATATTAAAACCAAAGAAACCGACATATAGCTCAACGTAATTATAATGTTGTCTCAAACCATGTTTTGTGGCATTTCTTGGGGGAGTCCTATGTTCAGCAGAGGCTGCAATGGTGATGGTAATGTGATGATGATGATTAATTTGCAAGGGAATGCAGAAGCAGAAGCCTATTGCATTAGAAGTAATAAAATACAAAATCATATCAAAAACTTTATTACAATAATATTAAAAATCCTTATTTCCTATGTTTACGATAATTAGGCGACCGATCTCTATCTCTCTTTTTCTTTTTCCCTTTTCTCTTTTTATCTATGTCTCTTTTCTCCTTCGTATTGCTATTTTTATATCCCTTTTCTTTGCTTCGACTGTACGATTTTTCTGAATCACTACTACTATAGCGTTTGTGTTCCTTTTTCTTTCTTCTTCTTCTTTCTGTATCAGAACTTAATGATTCACTACTACTGTATCTCCTTTCTTTCTTTTTATATTGATTTGATATTTCCCCTTCACTGCTGGATGAAACTTGTTTTTGTCTGTGAATAACATCTCTATTTTTACCATTGGAGTATTTGTCACTGTCTCTATGTGAATCTCGGCTATCTTCTTTTCTTTCCTTGTTGTCAACATAATTAGATTTATGACTAGATGAACTTTCCTTAGTTGATTTGTAATCAGATGTCTTTTGAGAAACCTTTTCATTTTTTTTGTAAGCTTCATATGAGTCTGCGTCTAAAATGTAATAAAATATTATTTGAAATATAAATAAAAGTATTCTTCGACAAAGTATATCCGACAAAAAATTATTCTGATTATAAATAAATAGTTGTTAATCTACCCACAATGTTTTTTCTTTTTTAAATTGAATGTGTTAAAAAATTGGTGGACTCTCGCTTTTTGGAAGTGAAACTTATAATCGATTAATATATACTTGAAAACGATTTAATATTTATACCTACCGGGCCCAATCAAAACCATCCATGGACCCACTCAAACACAAAAAAAATCTCATCAAAATCGGTTAAGCAAGGCAATAGATTTTCATATATAAAGAAAGACTATTCTCCCATCATATTTACCTTTTCGTTCACTAGTTCAGTCATAAAATAATAGATATAAATAATTTTTCTTTCCTCTACCTTTTTAAAACCATCGTCGCGAGTCGTGTAAAGAAAGCTGTGTGTGCGACTGTATTTTGGGAGTGAACAAAACGCGGGAAACACGAGGAACCAATAGCATGCGCGGACAGTAATACTGGCGAGCATTCCCCCGTCACGCCCCCTTCGTACCACCAATTTGATCGATAAATCGCTCAGTGCGCAGACTCAACGCCAGCGTTCTTTTTACGTGACGGGACCTATATGTGTCTATGGCCGCTTGCTATCAGGTGGACTGTTAGCTAGTGTACACACAGAGCATAGGCTCATCTGTCCTCAATTAAGAATCCAATACATAGAGGCATTGTCACCTCTGGCTACTAGGATGGAATGCCTCAGAGCCTTTATTTATATATTTCTACTAGCTTTTCGCCCCGCGATGTTACCTGGGGCCACGTCATAGCGTCCACAGACATGACCCACACTTATTATGAGAATAATACGGAGAGCTCAAGCTATCGCATGAAAACTATCATATTTCGGAATGATAATGATCGCAGATTTTAAGTTAGACTTAGGCTTTTCGAATAATGAAAACCGATCAGACAATCTGCATTCAACTTCCTTCTTCAATAAATTAGTTTCCGTTACAGTTGTACGTTTGTGAAACTCTTTCTCTCTACATATTTGCTGTGCATATACTCATGCATAAATGTTCAAATTGAAAAAATATATTAATTATTTTTTCTCCATACAAATTTGAACATCTTATTGTCCCCGTTAGAGGTTGCTTCGAAAAATCTCAAAATACGCTTTCAATTATTTTATTTATAGAGTACTTTCAGTAAGTTTCGAGTCAATCCTCCATTTGTTCCTCTTAAGGGTTGAAATTTTTCCAAAATTCTTTCTTAGTGGATGCCTACGTCTCAAAAGGCAGCCACTGTCCAAATTTCAGACTTCAAAATTTAGTTAGCGGTTTGGGCTGTGGGTTGAAAGATGAGTTAGTCACTCAGGACATCCTCTTTTATATATATTATATAGATTAAGTTTGACCCTGCGTGTAAGCGACAAACAGGCCTGCGATTTTACCCATTCGGTCACTTTTTACACTTTTTTATAAAAATAACCATAATCTTTTGTTTGTTTGTTGTTTTTAATAAATATAATCTTAAAAACAAATAAACATTTTTAATTTTTAGGAAATTTAAAACAGACGTCAATGTTTTAAGTCCTCTATTATCTTTAAGCTATTTATTATCACGATAATAACTACACGAATGAGCCGTTAGTAAAACGTCGACATATCCTATGTGTTTATGCCTAAATTTGGTCATGTTGAACGCCATCCAATTACGTTCGAGCTGTCGCGTCACCCGATAGTATGTAGGTGAAAAAACGCCGCCAGGTGGGGTGGCGGTGTGCGGCTTGAGTGGCTCGACGCGTGGGCGATGATGGTGGAGTTGCACACTGGCCACGAAGCGAGGAACCCGCGTAGCTCGTTTATTGCGGCCGAAGTTCACGCGACCGTCGTCAGGTCCAGATAGTTAGATTAAGTGCGTGTTACTTAGTTACGTGGATATGTGAATTTTGCAATATTTAACTTGTTCGGGGATGCGGAATTGTGCACGCGCGCGTCGAGTAGATATACGGTCTAGGATTCGAACCGCGCTTTCCTTGTTCGAGAGCTTCTCTCGGTTGATCGTCAGGCAATCATTATAATTGTGCCGTCGCGTTAAGTGCCCTTTTTTGTGTGTTGGTTGGCTTGTTAGTTTGCGTGTCAACGAGGCGTATTTTGAATCTTTTCGCGACGTGGTGTTTTGGTGTCGAATGAAGGAACTTAGTTGTGTTTGACGCTGAATCGTATGACTCATTAAGAGATCGCTTTAATTCCCTATTTATAATTTTGTGATAAGTGAATCCGGGACATTGAATGTCGAATTGGAACTACTGTCCTTACTGTGTCGGGTATCACGTGTTCGATTCTACGATGAATGTGGAATTAGGCGAGTTTAAATTCGTTAAATGTACAATGAAGCTAATAGACTGAAATAGTGACAAGGAAGAAAGAAATGGTCCAGCGGTGGAGCCTGCTGGAGCGATGCAGCATTTTGGGGCAGCCTGGAACTCGGCCGCTGCTGATCGCCTAAGGTGGTCAAGGTTTCACACATTTACACATCACTGTACACTACTTGCCATTCACCTTACACCCACTCACGGCCTGAACGAGCCTTGGTGCGAAGTTAGCTGCTGATACTGGTACGTAATATGTGTTTCTTGCATTCTCCCATATAGCTTAGTATTATAGGAAATTCTTCCATATAGCCACTCGGGCTCGAACCTGCGGCTGCTCGTTGAATCTTCCGCTCATGGGCCCCGGATATTGAATCTGTTCAGAAGCAGCTGCGGGCCGTAACACTATCAATATCTAGTCTTTTAGTCGAATTACAATGACGCATACAATATGAAAAATTTGACTATATTTTTTTAAATGTAATCTAGCTGATTATTTAAACCATTCTCTTTATAAAATAAGGGTAAGAAGAGAAAAGAGTACACAGTCCACCTGATGGTAAGTGGATGTTTGTGGCCCATAGACATCTACATTTATCCTCGATTAAGAATCAAAATGCAGATGCGTTGTCACCCCTGAGGACTGAGATGGAATGCCGCGTTTCCAGTAAAAAGGGCCTTTGGTTCTCTACACTCACCATACGAAAGACAGCAGCATTAAGCTGCTATTTTATGCTGGTATTCTGTGAGAGCGTGGTCCTACCTCGGTCAAGCCTACCCGCAACCACGTACTGCAATCACAATATAGCTGCAGCATGGCTCTACCACGTAAAAAACATCGCTATTCCCTCGGCTTTCAAAGCCAAACTCTATCAGAGATTTGTTTAGAATGTAGTACCAACTTGCTTGTTGGAGTATGCGTTGTATAGAGAAAGGCTTCTGTGTATATTTCTTGGTTATTGTCTGTTAAAGTGAAACTTCTTTTAGCGCGTTAAGGCAAATTGGCCTGGATCAGATGGAAAGTGAAACACTTCCCCTTCTCAACTTAAGGAACCAGTAGACGCATACAGTAGATGAACATGTTTTAATATTTTAAGTTATCATAAGTTTCACTTTCCATACCTTCACTGTTTACTTTACAGAATGCATAGTCGGTAGATGTATAACTATTTATAAACGGATCCATTTTATTTTTAAGATTTAAGATTAAAATAGAATGTTTATTCGGTCTGGTCGGGTTTCTGGTTCTCTGCACTCATTATATGAAACATAGCAACAGCAAGCTATTTAACGCTGGTATTTTTTTATAGGATAGGGTGACAAACGAGCACACAGTCCACCTGATGATAAGTGGTTGCTGTGACCCATAGACATCTACATTTATCCTCAATAAAGAATCAAAATGCAGATGCGTCGTCACCCTTGGGGATTAAGATGGAATGCCTCTTATCCAGTAAAATGGGACTTCGGTTCTCTACACTCACCATACGAAACACAGCAGTGTCAAGCTGCCATTTTACGCTTGTATTCTTCACCCATTCATGCTACAACTATACTACTAATATAGCTGCAGCATGGCTCTACCACATATTAATTCTGTGAGAGCGTGGCCCTTCCCTGTTCGAGCCGTACCATTGGTGCTAAAACTATAATGCCACATCATTGTCCTAACATGTAGAGTGTTGATTATGACAAATTGTCCCTTTACCGGGATAAGGCACATGTATAGTAATGAAATTTTACGAGTTGATAAAGCGAATAAAAAAGAGGGAACTGTTTTAGCTTTATCCATTATCTATCTATTATAGTTTTCAAAAATCCACTGCTGAACAGAGGCCGTCCTCATAATTGCCATGCTAGATAGTTTTTTTAAATAGAGTAGAAGAAGAAAGACCGCTAAAAAGAACCCCTTTGTATCGTATCTCCTCAGTTTCAAGGCACTCCCCTTGCTGCCTCAGCTAGCATCGGAATCCTTGGCGTCGACATATCGAATAGTGTGTAGTTTCGTGGTCACTTGGAAGGGAAGGCCAGATTGGCCTCTAAAAAGCTTGGCACATCGCTTGCAACTTTACAAAGCGCAAGTTCGGCCTCACATGGAATACTGTTCTCATCTCTGGGCTGGGGCACCCCAGTGCCAGCTCCTTCCACTTGACCGCATCCAGCGCAGAGCGGTTCGAATCGTCGACGACCGAGTTCTTTCTGATCGGCTCGATATACTGGTACTCCGTAGAGTTTATCGCATTTATCACGGGGAGTGCTCTGAGGAATTGTTCGGACTAATTCCAGCCGCTCAATTTCACCATCGCACATCGCGACAAAACTCGCGTTACCATCCATACCATCTGGATGATTGGCGGTCCACCACTGTGCGATTTAGAAGAAGTTTTCTCCCTCGCACAACTTCCTTGTGGAATCGATTACCACCAGCGATTTTTCCGGACCGATACGACTTAAGGACCTTCAAGAAAAGAGCCTACTCCATTTTAAAAGGCCGGCAACGCTTCTGCAATTCTCCTGGTGTTGCGGTTGTTCATGGGCGGCGGTAGTCACTTACCATCAGGTGGGCCGGTATACTCGTTTGCCCCCTCTTCTATAAAAAAAAAGAAAAAGAAAGGAAGATGCTGCTGCCCATTTCCTGTTTCAGTTTCCCTTTATCGCCTCTTAGGACACCCACTGGACGATATGAGGTAGTGGATATTTGTATACCTCCACTACACGTTAAATTCTGTATACATATATGTAATTGGACTTACTTATAACTTTTGATTGTTTATCAAATTCAGATTTGGTGACTGGTTGCATCATGAATTCGCTCAAGCTTACAGTTTCTTTCTTGACAGGAATGTTTACCATTACACGTCCGTTGTCTTCGTCCAAACTGACTACCTGTAAAGTATATCAAGATTTTATAGACATATCAATTCATGACTTATTATATTCTCGATTCCTATACTAGAGAAATATCTAGTTTTCATTCCAAACTAATATAATGTGTACAGACACAATATGATCATTATTACAGCCCTTGACAAGTCCACTGCTGTACGTAGGCCTCCCCCAAGTAATGCACAGTCCTGAGCCACCTGCACCCATCGACTTTCTGCATGTCTTACCAGGTCGTCACTCCATCTAGTGGGGAGTCTCCCTACACTTCGTCTCCCGGTACGAGGCTGCCACTCGACAACTTTTTTCCTCATCGGTTGTCGGTTCTTCGAGCTATATGGCAGGCCCATTGCCACGTCAGTTTACTAATCCATTGGGCTATGCGGGTTACTGGTTCTACTGCGGATATCTTCATTTCACTGACACTGTATATATATTTATTTTTATAACAAAGGTAACAAACAAGCACACAGCCTGATGGTAAATGAATTCTGTAGCTCATAGACAACTGCATCTATCTTCTATTAAGGACAAGAAGGTGTCTGCACAGAGATGCTTTGACACATTTGTGGATTAAGACGGAATACGTTTAAGAGTTTAGTAAGAAGGATCTCCGGTTCTTGTCACTTACTGTATAGAACATAGTATTACTGTTGGTATTCTTTGTGACCGTGACACTTACTCAGTCGAGCCGACCCGTTTTTTATGTGGTAGAGCTATGCTGCAGCTATATTATCTAGCGGGAAGGACCGCGCTCTCACAGAACTGCGTAAAATACCAGTTCAATGCTCCAGTGTTACGAATGGAGAATGTAGAGAACGGGAAACCCTTTTTACTGGATACGAGGCATTTCATCTTAGTTCTCAGGGGTGACAACCCATCTACATTTTGATTCTTAATCGAGGATAGATGTAGATGTCTATATGCATCAAGTGGGCTGTATGTTCGCTTGTCACCCTTATTCTATAAAAAAACCATTTATGTAGCAGAGAAACAAAGCGTCTACTTATTATCAGGACAGTGTACTTATTTGCCACTCTTACTTCTATATAAAAACGAAGTAAATACCCAGCCTTTATAAATATGTGGAAAGAGTGTCTAACTTCTATTAAGTTGCATGATCTTATTATACACAGTATCTCTTTATATTGCATCAGTTTAAAAGAGGATATTTCATTTTTACCTTGCCGTAGCAACCACTGTATTTTCCACTCGTAACTTTTACACATGCATTCTTAACTATGCTTAGATCATTGTCATTATCCTTAGATTTATTCTTTTTTTGATTTTCTGCTATCACCTTGTCAGCCCCCAAACCTAATCCTTTTGGACGTAGCTGTGGAAGCTTGTACTTTGATCTGGAAGATGGAAAAATTTGCATTATAAAAATTTATATTAGTTATATAATATTATGTAATATAAATTATTATTATTATTACTATAATTATATGATAAATTTGTTTTAGTAACGCATTACATTTCGGAATTAGTTTTGTACGACTTAAAAAAATAGTTTCGGGTCTGGATATTTGTAACATATTGCAAAATTTAGGAGTAACTCCTAGATATAATGGTAGGAGACAGAGGATCAAGAGGGACAGTTTAAAAAAATTACTCAGTTGTTTGACTCAAGTAGTAGTAGTCATCTGAATTGTCAGATCCTAAATCTTTTTTATCTATCTATCTCTCTTGCACTCGTTAAGATTACGGAGCGCAATAGTGATGTACGTAATAGTAGCAAGTGTATATCAATAAATTGTAATGTAGTGATTTTTCACTAGTAGAAAGTAGAGTTCTACGTATACCTAAAGAAAAGATTTTGTTAATTTCTTTACAAAAAATTAAAACATATATTTTATAAATACAACATAAGCTTTATGTGAAAAAGATTTAAAACAGAAGTTAAGTTAACCTATTGGATAGCACCATACCTATTTAACTTCGTTAGTGAGGTAGGTTTATAGAAACCTATACTATAGAGTACCGCGCATAAGCAGATAACAAATTATCGATATTTCGCAAGTCAATGGTAAATTTCTACTGTTACTGACGTTTATGACCCGACGACTTAGATGAGAACGGGTGGACTAAAATTAAAGGAAATGATTTGTTCAATGTATGTAAATAAATTTTGTTTGTCAAATGTCATTTAATTATACCTACTAAATCTACTACCAGTTCGAAATGGTAATATAGGTTAAGTATCCGACTAGGTTGAACTCTTAGATAGAGAAAGAGAGCTAAACCATAACATCCAGTGTTGTGTTCCAGTTTAAAGTATAAGATAGTTTTGTGAGGACTTCCACCTTAGCCTAACTTTAGAGGTCACAATACATTTAGTACATTTATTAGCAAATGTCCATGAGCCATAGTAGACAATTAATTAGAAAGCAGCTTTTTAGAATTTGTACGTGGTAGAGCCATGCTGTAGCTATATTAGTAGTATAGTTGTAGCTCGAATGGGTCGGCTCGACCGGGGAAGGACCACGCTCTCACAGAATACCAGCGTCAAATAGCAGCTTAACACTGCTGTGTTTCGTATGGTGAGTGTAGAGAACCGGAGACCATTTTTACTGGAAAAGAGGCATTCCATCTTAGTCCTCACGGGTGACAACGCATCTGCATTTTGATTCGTAAACGAGGATAAATGTAGATGTCTATGGGCCACAGCAACCACTTACCATCAGGTGGACTGTGTGCTCGATTGTCACCCTATCCTATAAAAAAAAAGCTTTAGCAGGGTAAGGAAGGCTTGTAAAAACATACTTAGTTAATGTGAAATACAATAGAGAACTGGACATGGATCTCTTCCATTGTAGGTAGCTCACCAGGTCTGGGTATTAAAACAAAAAAGTTATATCACCATTTATTGAAAGCCATGACATCCCTCTGGCATATCCCATTCACCGCATATGACACAAACGAAATGAAATAGGTTGATGGATTGTCTTATATCACATAACAAAAACTTAATAGTTTTTATATTAATACGATAATTATAGTGGTTCAGAAAATGTTAAAGAAAATTTGTCATGAAGAATTTGCTTTCACTCGAGACTTACGTTTCCTTGCCTGGCGTCCAACCCATTCCACGCAACATCGCCAACCCAAATTCTTGTATTGGAACAGCTTCGTAATCATCCAAGGACGACTGTGGAGTAAAAAAAGTAATTATATTCTTTTAGCAGCATAACAGAATTTATATCCTAATATCATCCTGCCTGTCATACAGGTTTTTTATACCTACATCAGGTACTAACAAGTTAGGTACCAGTCTGGCACTTCTCTAATACTTACATTTACCTTGATTAAGAATCAAATTGCAGATGCATTGTCACAGAAAGACTTTAGATTAACTACCCCCTTATTTTGAAATGAGAAGGGGATGTGGGGAAATTTTTGAAAATTTTATTGCCAATTTGAAGCATTTTAGTACATTTTTTTGGAATAGAAGGGAAAAGGGGAAGGAGCACCACCTGCTGTAAACCTCCCTCAAAAATGCATATTATAATTATTTTTTCCTAGGCTAAACTATTTTTTCCTAAGGCTGGCAGATGTTCAACCTAAAGTTGCTGATATTACCTTTCCCAACAGGATCAAGTACATGTCGCTGATCTAATTATGCTAGCTTGCGGAAAACTAGTTAAACTAAGAAAAACCACTGTGTTCTTAAATCAATTGGCAATAAATATTTATTTAATATCAAACACTTTTATTTTTACTAAATACTCCTGGTCAAAAGTGATTTTAACTAGGTACTAGTCTTGGTGATAATTACTTTTAAGCTTTTAACCCACATATTTCAGTATTTTATCAATATTTTTTTAGACAACCTAAATCTTTTTAGTCAAAATACTTTTTAATGTTTCCATCAAAATTAGTTTTGACCCAGAATTAGTTTCAAGTGTAACATTTATAACTAACGGTTGCATTAGTTCTTATTAATATTAAAAAATATCATTGTTATAAAATATTAAAATTATTTTATAACTACATCGATGATATTTTTGAATTTTAGTAAGTACAAACAAAGCAATTTTTAATTAAGTATTATCATTGAATGTGTTGAATTTAAATTTCACATAAAACATATAATCTGAAAAAACATTATCATTTTTCTGTATTCATAAAATCTGTAATTTTTTTCATAGGAGAGAGGGCAAACGAGCATACGGCTCACCTGATGGTAAGTGGTAGTCACATGCCTTGCCATTTGCTACAGCCACCCATGGACAACTGCAAATCACCAAGGGAATTCCAGGTGCGTTGCCAGCCTTTTAAAAAGGAGTAAGCGCTTTTTTTAAAGGACCCTAAGTCGTATCAGTCCGGAAAAATCGCCGGTGGTAAATTATTCCACAGAGAAGTCGTACGCGGAAGAAAACTCTTAGTGAAACGTACAGTGGTGGACTGCCAAGCATCCAGATGGTGTGGATGGTATGGGCAGTTTTGCCGCGATGTGCGTTCGTGAAATTTGGCGACTGGGATTAATCTGAACAATTCCTTAGAACACTCCCCGTGGTAAATGCGAAAGAAAATGCAAAGCGATGCAACATCTCTTCGCAGCGACAGTGAATCGAGCCGATCGGAAAGGACTCGGTTGTCGACGATTCGAGCCGCTCTGTGCTGGATGGGGTCAAGTGGAAGGATCTGGCACAGCGGAGCCCGAGCCCAGAGATGGGAACAGTATTCCAAGTGACGCCGAACCTGCGCCTTGTAAAGTTGCAGGTGGTGTGCCGGCATGAAATACTGTCCCCCTCTGTTGAGCATAAAGACCAATTAGTCTGTTTGGAACACTTCTGTTGTATGTAAGATATTTGTATTTGGATGTGAAACTATTAATTAAAAAGAACAAACTTTCGTAATACACTAACAGCATTGAGACCATCATCATTCAAAGTCGGCACTGTTCATTGTTCTTCAGTCTCTTCCTGTTCCTTGTCATTTTCCTCTTGAACTTCTTGTACAATATTATTTTCCATAGATGGTGCACAAATTGCAATAGAGTTATGTACATCAATAAACTCATTTGCTTCAGTAGTAGATAAAGTAGGTCACAAATTTTGGGCCATAGATTACCCCCTAATAGATTCCGCATACAGGGCTACAAACGCGCGCAACACATACTTGCTGTAGCTAGCATACGAAGCGAAGCTAAGAATCACGACATCAGTATTGACCAAGTTTGTGATCCGTAGGCACGTCCGAGTTCTTGACAATTTAAAAATAGTTTTGTATCCAAAATACATTACAAATGGCTTCCTGTGCAGTAAAATGGTGTGACAAGTCAGCTAAGACATCCAGTTATCAAAAAGATGGCATAAATTTTAATTGGTAAGTAAATTCTATTCTTATCACGTTAACCTATTTCAAATGCACCGGAGATCAACTTATACTGGATAATTAATGGTGCAAAGTGATAACAATTAAGCACCCGTTGATGTCTTTTTGAAATGTCCCTTTCACTCGTTACGTAAATTACAATAGTTGTCTTTGTCTAACAACAGCACGTGTATCGATAGTGTTGTGATTTTTAAGTCGATATTTGTTTGGTCATCCTTTAATTATTTTTTTCGAAGTCATATTATTTTATAAAAATAGTGATGTATCATTGTGGTACCTATATGTTATAGGTTTCCTAAATGCCCCGAAAGGAAAAAAGATGTGGATCGATGCAAATTGTCGAGGGGACGAATGGTTTCCCACCAAAAATAGTGTACTATGCTCAAAACACTTCACAGAAGACAATCTTCATAATATTATGTAAAATCGTATAAAGCTGTTGGATTCTTGCCAGTTTTGGTATGGACTTTTGCATTTTTTTTAAAGATTAGTACTAACGTGGATTACACAATAATATCATTAAGTGGTTGAGTGAAACATGATATTCTTATATTTAGGTAAATGTTACACGTCGAAATCAAGCTATTTTTAACGGATTTATAAATCATAAAACTTGTAAAAGTTATAATGTGATTATTGTTTTCACTTGGTATTTAGTGTTACATGAACTTCAGTATTATCTTATTATAATTATTAAGTACATCTAAATTTGGAAGACGTGCCGTATGGTGTATTAATTAATAATACTATATCGGTAATGTTTTAAAAGAAACGAATATGTATTTCTGATTTAGATTACTGGTTCACCGCTGAAAGAAGCGAAAAACCCGCCAACACCTAAAAATTAGAGTCATTGCTTAGAAACGCCTACAAAACAAAAAAGAAAATTTTCTCCTATACCTGATACGCCATCTGCATTTGATACTCCAGTTAAAAACGTCTTTGTAGAAGAATCATCGAATTATCGGTAGTAATGAACAAAAAAGAAAAAAAAGTTAAAAAGTTAAGTGATTCCAACAGAAGACTAAAAACACAAATAGTTTCTTTGAAGTCATTATTGGTAGAATTAGAAAACAAAAATTCATTAGCAGCGGAAAACAATGACGCATTAAGTTCCTTAGAAAAATCAAAATCTAGAAAATCAGGCAAAATTGTTAGAAAAAAATATTCACCACAATTAAGAGCTTTTGCACTCACCATAAATTACTCAGCTAGGCTTATAATTATGTACGCAAAACATTTAATACTTCTTTACCTTCTGTAAAAACACTAGGAAAGTTCGTAGTTTTAACACAATCAATTAAGCTTAATTATAAATAATAATTATAATAAAATTATATATATATATATATATATATATATATATATATATATATATATATATATATAATAAAAATAATAAATATAAATAAATAAGCAGTTTTGTTAATGATGATATTTTTCATGAAATAAAAAAATCACCAATTCGATCACGAAAATTGTAATCATGTCATTGATTTAGCTAAGAGTGTTATGGAAAAATACATAGACATACTCGTAAGATTACTCTACTCATCCAGGAAGACAGATCCTAAGAATTCTGTGAGACAATTTTATACTAAGATTATCCATTTTAAAAATCAATCAAATGTATATTTATAAATTAAATGTACAAATATATGTATATAATGTTTAATTTTTAAATAAACATCAAATAAAAATTGATCAATATATTTATTTATCATTATCAATAAATCCCAAATTTATCGATCAACGTCCCAACCCTGTTCCATCACTATGGTTTGGTAAATTCTAAGTTTGACCTTTAAATATCCAATCACAGCGCATTTGCCACGTCCCCCGCAACCCTTGCATAGGGCCAAATTTGGTGAACTCGAAACAGAACAAATATTCAATGATGCGGTATCTATTAGGAGGTAATCTATGTTTTGGGCTGATTGAGTCAAAGAAATATTGTCTTTGTCATCATAAATTCTGGCAGCTTCACCACTCATTTTCCCACTGACGATACCGTGCCAAGCCCGGAAACATTTAACTCAACTAGACAAGCAAACAAAATCTTCACAAAAACACTGAGCAAAATCGTTTGCTTTTTGTTGAAGAATTGGTACATTTATTGGCACATTATTTGTTCATTATTGATAGATTTGTTTGTTTCATTTTCAACAAATTGCAGCTTCACAAAGTGTTTGATTTTTTTTTCTTTTTCTTGTTGAAATTTTCGAGTGTGATATATACACTCTAGCTTTGACATAATACGTGGTTTTTATTCAACATTGATCTGTTTTCTTTTTCTTTGCAATATGATGTTAAATATTTCACAATCAACTCAACAATATGCTTTAGTATGCCTTGTGTACAGATAAGTAATAAACTAACTGAATAGATATGAGAAAGTGGGCTTTGATAAAGTGTTATTTGCTTGCTTGCTAGTGGATTTTGTTTCTGAGAATTGACCATTAGACTGTGCCAGATGTGGATACTGTTACCTATTCAAATTGTTTACAGTACAGCAGGTTGTTCAAACAGATACAATTCTCCTAAAATATTAGTGAAATAAAGTCACTTTAGTTAGTATATAGTAATGAGGAATGTCTTAAAAAGCAGTGTTTTTATAAGGCGATCATATAGCATTCAGCCGGAACCTACGATTTTGGTCAATATAACCAGTATGTTGTTCTAAAGGATGTCATCATAAACCATTTTAACTGTATTTAAATTTTATAATACTCCAACACAACTTACTTAAACAAAACACATGTCAAATGCTTATATCTAATGAGTAATATTTTTTCAAAAACTCTAGTTTAGTTCATAATTTTTTCAAAAACATTGAGTTTCCGAGTGCTGAAACTTGGTACACATAAGAGGATTGTGAAGTGCCAAAACGCAGTGACAGTAGATATTTTCAAAAATGCTATCTGTTTCATACTGCTCGAGAGTTTTGCAAGTCTTGGGGCAATTGCCTACATTTCTTTTTTTGATATGTTGTTTTGGACGATAATGTTTTTACCCCCTTAACCTTTGTGAAATTAGACAATTTTGGTCTCATTACATTCAGTATGTTAATCTAGGTCTGTACATTTTTTTAGTAATTCTGATTAGTTTAATTTAAAAAAAATGCTTGAGGAAGTTTTTAAGTCAAAAATATAGATATTTAGATGCTAATAACTTATATCATCTATACAAATAAATAAAATTGAAGTGTCTGTTTGTAATGTCAAAAAAACAGCTTTTTACTAATTGCATATAAAAGTATATATAGTACCTATAACAGAAATGCAATTTTTAAAATTTTTGTCTGTCTGTCTGTTTGTTCCGGCTAATCTCCGAAACGGCTGGACTTTCACTGGTAGATGGCTCATGTTATAAGGAGTAACTTAGGCTACGTATATTTTTTTTAAATGATTAGGGTTCCGTGCAACAAAATTAAAACCCTAAATTACATGTGGGCGAAGTCACGAGGAACAGCTAGTACTCAATATTTCTTTTAAAAGAAAGCATATGGACTTACTTTTTCATTTTCAAAAATTATGAAAATTAGACTGTTTACAGGGGAAAATTTTTCATCACGTTTTCTATGAAAATTTAAAGCTTCACAATCCTATGAGGATTTATAAAGGTAGATCTTTTGAACAGTAGTCATTGGAAAGTGCTAACTTTGGGTAGGTAATCTAAAGGTGAACAGACACTAATGGTTATTCAATCCATAGATATGGAAAAATATTTAAGCTTCATAGACACAACAATAAATAATTATATTAACTTAGATTATACTATAAAATATCTTTTTATAATTAATAATATCTGCACTCTTATTACCTCTTTCTGACCATCAATTATTGGAAGTGAAGGTACAGGTATTTGCAGAGATTTAGGTTCTGGAGTTGTTTTCACTTTTTTTGCTTCTTGCAACAGTTCTCTAACCGCCATTTGGTCAAGACTTTCATTTGTTACATGTTCTTGATCCTCATTTTGACTTTTAGACCGCTCATTAGCTTCTGGTTCATGGAGAGAACTTTCAACTTTTTCTGCTATTTCTTTTAACTTCTCAGCAGTTATTAGAGTGTTGGGCTTCATTGGAATTATAAGTGGCTCAGCTTCTTTTGTTACTTCTTTTCTGAAAAAAGTTTGAAGCTTTTTAATATAATTACTAATGAAAATCTTACATCACAATATTTTAAAATATTTGTTATTTTTAGAATTTCAGAGTATTTATGACACTCTTTGATTTATATCTAATAAACTATATCTAATTAAGTTACCAATATTATTAAAATAAAACAAATAGATAAGTCATAAAAATATACAGTTAATAATACTTTGCCTTAATTTATACAACAAGAACTAAAACTAATATATACCCAACAATTTTGATAGAATTATCCTCGACACTCTCAATATATTCACGTTGTTCCGTAATGATAGGTTTATCTTGTTTTTTCGTTTTAAAAAATCCAAATGATATTTTTTTGTTATCCATGTTTCTGTTTTCTAATAAAATACTTCACGATTTGAATAAAAAAAGGATTACTAATTACATTCAGGTATAATTCACCTTTGAGAGTGTTTATGTTATATTTATCATCATAGGATTCTAAAATACTACAGTAAAAATAAAAATAAATTGTCAAGCCCTGAGCCTGAGGTCAAGCTTTTGTCAAATGTCAATGTCAATTGTCAAAAGATATTTAATTTGTTCTTGTTTATGAGTAGCTATTTGAGGCAGGCAAAGGTCATAGACCATACAGCCTCTTCAGATTATTATATATATGTAGTGAAAGTGGGGGATGCCATTAGTTATTATGTTAACTCTTCAGTAGGCACAGCACAGGGCTCTGTTATTTGACCATTGTATTACATCACTTATACTAATAGTCTGGCAAACATCATCAGGCGTTGCGAAATATACCAGTATGCCGACGATACGTGCCTGGTTGCAACCGGCGAAAATATTAACGAAACTGGCCGCATTTTGCAAGAAGAACTTCATATATTAGAATATATTAACACAATGGTCTCATGATAAAGGATTAAGTATTTATTAATGCTAGCAAGACCAAGCTAATGTATATTAGTTCTAGTCATAATAGGAGTAAAGTAATACCTAGCATTATTGTGTATGACCACCTATGCCTTCACAAAGGACAAATAACATTCAATTGTCATTGTGCAGAATTAGAACCGGTAGAAACTCAAACTTACTTAGGACTTGTAATAGATAGTTGACTCAACTGGAAACATCATATTGAGGTTGTATGTAATGGATTTCGCATGTTAGCAAAATTCTCCATAATTAAGTATAAAGTCCCCTATAGAATTCTGTTACAATTATATAAATCACTGGCCGATTCTAAAATTTCATATGGCTTGTCTAGTTATGGAAGAACTTACAAATCACATTTAGACAACATTTATTCATTGCAATTACGCATCTTAAAAACTATAGTTCCAGACAAGGTTAAAAACATACACAGCGATTCTGATTACCATAACCTATTCGATTACTGCAAAATTATACCGGTGCATAAAAAAGCAGAATATACTCTTTTAAATGAAGCATTTTTTAACGAAGATTTAAAAAAATATGTCATCACTAACTATTCTTAAACTCGCAGTTCGGCCAAACCAAAATTAGATCAACCTAATTATAACAATTTATACGGAAAACGTACTTTAGAATACATGGTTCCAAATTTGTTACCTACCTCTTTTCAAAATGAAATTAATCATAAAAATATTAAATTCAAATTAAAAAACTATTATACGAACTGTCTATATCAAACTTCAAACTAAATTAAAAAAAGAAAAATCTATAATCCCCACTAACTATATTCCCTACATAAATAAACCTATATGACATATAAACAAATAATTATTATTATACTCGTCTACTATTAAATATTATCACGATTATTATCAATATGTTTTTATCACCTCCTGTATACGCGACGCAGGAACGACCGGTTTTTGACGCGGCGAAGTGGGCGGTGGCAAGACTCACGTCCTTTAATGCACTGTTAGTTAATTACGTATTGCCGATTTACCGCCTGTTGACTGTGCCAATTGCTGATTAATAATGTTGCGTTATACATATTTTATAGATTAAGGTGTAGCTTATCTGTCAGATTGTAAGTCGGCGGCTTGTGGTACACGGTAAAGTTTTCATTAAGCACATGTTGTACCATAATATATTCTCTGTATTATCTGTAGTTTGTTAAATAAATATTTTACACTATTATAATAAATAAATAATTGCAACACTTTTACGTATAAAATCCATTTCAAACTACTACTTAAACCGTTAAATAGAAGTAACAATCCGTCGGTGTTCAAACTCCCATATGCGTCCCAATGGGTGCATCCACGACTTTTTCTGCCACCACTTACTTAAATATGACGTATAATATTTGACAGATTTCATAACAGGGAAGTTAATTTGTTCTAAAAATGTAAAGGTGAATGTTTCTTTCTGAATTATTAGTTATCATCATCATCATTACAGCCCTTCACAAGTCCACCGCTGAACACATAGGCTTCCCTCAAGGAATGCTACAAAGCACGGCCCTAAGCCACCTGCATCCATCGACTTCCTGCATGTCTTATCAGGTCGTTACTCCATCTAGTGGGGGGACGCCCTACACTTCGGCTGCCGGTACGAGGCTGCCACTCGAGAACCTTTTTTTCCCCATTGGTTGTCGGTTTTTCGAGCTATATGGCTGGCCGATTGCTACTTCAGCTATCCTTTGGGCTACGTCAGTAACACTGGTTCTACTGCGGATATCCTCATTTCTAAGTCTATCACGCAGAGAAAACCCGAGCATAGCCCTCTCCATAGCTCGCTGATCGACCTTGAGCTTCCTCATACGGCCAGCAGTGAAGGACCACCTTTCAGTTCCATAGGTCATTACTGGCAACACGCACTGGTTGTACAGTCTAGTTTCTAGATATGCCGTAATTTCCCGAACGCTGCCCAGCCGAGTTGAATCCATCAATTGACCTCCCGGTCGAAGTTGGACTTACCTAGTCGGACAAATGTCCCAGGTAAACACACTCTTCAACAACTTTGAGCTTAGTGCTCCTAACACTACCGGCATAGGTGTGACATGGACGTCATACATGATCTTTGTTTTGTCCATGTTCATCTTAAGACCTATCCGTTGGGTGGCACTATTGAGGTCATGGAGCATAGTGCTTAGGTCCTCCAGCGATTCTGCCATAAAGACTATATCGTCGGCAAATGAATCGTATCCTTTTTAGTCCAGAAGCTTGAAAACGTCTTCCAATGCAGCGGTGAAGATTTTCAGGTATATAACGTCACTCTGTCTTACACCTCTCTGCAGTTGGATAGGTTTCGTACTCTGGTTCTGTACTCGGATAGCCATCGTAGTCCTACTGTACAAACACTTCAGCACTTCGATATACCGACAGTCAACTTTAAATTTGTTAACCAAAAATTACTTATTTAAAATTGTATAATGTACTCATGTAAGTGACATGTATTTGTCTTAATGAGTAAATAAAGATCTTTAAACCGAAACCGAACTTGGCACCGCTGAAGGGACTGCAGTACCGCCCGAATTTCGACGGAATCAAAAGCTTTCTCATAGTCCATATGCTTCAGACGTAGTGGCACATTATACTCCTTGGACTTCTGTATAATTTGCCGAAGGGTATGTATGTAGTCTATGGTGTTAAAGCCTTTTTGGAAACCGGCTTATTCGGGAGGCTAGAAGTGGTCGAGTCTGCATGCGAGACGATTCGTAATGACTCTCGAAAACAGAACGTAGACGCGGCTCAGAAGGGAAATCGGTCTGTAGTTATTTAAGAGAGTGTTGTCGCCTTTCTTGAAGTACAAGACCACCACACTTCTACTCCTCGCCTCCGTTGTAGTGCCAGTATGGAGGACGGAATCAAAGAGCTTCTAAAGGATTTCAAGTACCGGTTTTTCACCCGCTTTCTGAAGCTCCGCTGTAATTTCATTCTCGCCTGGGGCCTTGCCGTTTTTAACCTTAATTGCGCAGTGTTGTATTAAAACCACATTAGTTTTTGACGTCCAGGAACAGCATACTTACATGTGTTTTTTTTTAAATTTCGATGTGAAGTAATTTTATAATTAGTATAAATTTAAAAAATTATACTGGCAACCTCGATATTTGAAAAAAAGTTTACTTGGGGTTTTGGCGGGAACTTGATCAGCGGCGGTTTGCTGCTCCTGTATTATTGTTTAAATAATGGTTTGAAGTGGACTTTGATATGTAAAAGTGGTGCGATTTTGTGTATTAATTGTCTACGCATGTGAACTATTAGTGGAAACAGTGAAACAAGTGTTCTGATGGTGATGGATTCTCAAGATAAGCTGTTTGTCTGCATAGGCGCCTTTAGGTACCATCGCCAACTATCAGCTGTCTGCTGGCTCAAGTTGCCGTCAAAATCTCTCAAGGGCTGCACAATGTGACGCATCAACATATTGTGAAGCAGTGAACTATGAAGGATAATTATTTATAATAAACCGAATAAAAAAACTCAAGACTTGGCCTAAAGGTCTAGATACCAGGCCATAAACTCCTATAAAAAAAAAGTTTCCTTTTTTTTTTGGATCTGTCACTACGCGCGGTAAAAAAGTTGAAGCCCGCCAAGTAGATTTGTGTCATCGTAAAACAATTTTATTTGTGCAAGTAAGTGTTGAAATTTTTATTTATTCTATTGATTATAACCTCGATTTTGTTATTATTTAGTGATTTTTTTAAGGTGAAATTATCAGGATTATTTCTATTATTAATACAACAATCACTCACTGAACAAGTAAGCATTATGGAAAAAAAATATAAAAATAACAACTATTACACTTCAAAAATTACAAAATATCTAAGATCTATTTCTTGCGTGCTGAATTGTGCCGATATGAATGTTGGTCTATACGCCAGTATATTCTAAGTCTATGGTTGTGACCAGGTTGATGCAACTTTTTATGAAAGCTGAGAAATCTGCACATAATCATGATTTTGTCAATGTTTGTGTTGGACTTGTTAAAATAAAATGAGAAAAAAATATCGCTGCTTCTTTCCTCCATATTGTTTTAGATTACCATTTTAAAAATTAGATACAAAAATTCATATTATATGGGAAGAAACTAAAAATGTTAATTCTGTGTTAAGCTTTTTTTGGTTTGCTCTTTAAAGTATAATTATATACATATTACTCTGAGACTTGCACAATTAATTTACCTATTAATTGATTATAATTAAATCAGAATTCTATCAAAAGAAGCAATTAATAAAAAGAAGAAAAAAATTACATTTGTTTGTCAACGTCTTACATATAGTCAAGATTCGAAATTGACTCAGGTAGTTTTTTAAAAAGACTTTATTTTAAACTTATTACTATTAATGTGCGATACATTACTTATATACTACTTAATTAATCCGCGATGGATTCTAACTTAAAGCTACATGTCCGATACATGTGAGAGCCTAACTATGA